TGTTAGATAGGAGGTGGGGACCACAGTAGTTATGTGAGTCCAAATTTCATTATGTTTTTTGAGTGTTATATATGTTGTTTTATGTTTTTCCGCCCTATAAGGGCATAGTTGTCTTTGTACTGTTCTATTATTTTAGTATAAATAATAAGTGAAGGGGGCGGCCAGATTCTTGCTTTCTTTTCTTTTCAACTACTCTTCTTCTCCTTCTCTCTTCCTTCTCTCTTCAAGAAACTACTTTCTTCATATTTTTTTAATTCAGCAGATTCCTACTAGAACCATATTTCATTCCTCAGCACCCCTCCCATTCGCCATTCCAAAGGGGCCTGGATTACCTTGACTGCTGCCATCAAAATTCAGCTTCAAGAAACCTTCAGGAGGGGATTCCCAACTCATACTCCTCTCTTAGAGAGGAGCAGCTTGCTACTGCTGACCAATTCCTCCAGATTGAAGGAGAATTGGTGGAATCAATCCAGGGATTTTAGCCACAAAAACACCCTATTTAGAATGCACTCCTTCAATTCTTGTAGATTTCTCGCCTCTTGGAAAATTCTGCCATCCCTTTCTTCCCACACTGTCCAAATCAGTGCTGCTCTTGCACACACAGCACAACACATAATTATTCCTCTTCTTTAAATAAATATGGTGAAGCATCCCTATCTTGGACTTCCTATCTCTTGATGCTATTCACTTGGATTCCTCTTCTTCTGATTCTAGAATTTGGTTCCCTTGCTCCAATTTATTTTCCTGTGCCACCTTCTTCAAGGTTAGCTCCTTTCAGCCTCAGTCTTTGGTCTCATTGTCTTTTCCAATGTAGGAAATTCAGTACCAACCTGTGCCATAAAAAAAAATTAGGGCTTTTTGTTGACAGGTGTTCCACCAAAAAAAAACAACACTTCTGATCTTTCTTAGAAAAAGGAGTTTCTTGTGCTGGTTTCCCCTTGTATGTGCTCTTTGTTTGGTCAAGTGGTGAATCTTCATATCACCTACCAATCTCCTATCCTTTTTCTACTTGGATTTGGGAAAGGTTCACTTCCTTGTTTAGTTGTAAGTGGTCCTCACCCCTTGACTTTTCCTTTTATGGACTCCTCTCCCCTTGACTTGGAAACTCTTTTTAAGCCCACTTTTTTCTCTCATTCAAGAGAGGGAGAATAAAATGGAGATGAACTAGGGCGACTATTCTTTGGTCCATTTAGGAGAGGAATGATAGGATCTTCTTCAATGAAGGCAAAAAGAGGAGATTCTAAAGAATATCTTGGTGAAGATGTCATTAGGCTTAGACCTTATTACTTTTGAATCCTTCTCCATGGAGGACATCTCAAGGAGGTGGCATTGGGGAATCCGGATCTGCTACCCAGACCTACACGCACAACACTACCGCCATGCATTGGGAACATCTCTTGTTTTCATTCATGGGAAGGTGTTACCAATGCATGGCTGTTGTGTGGGTAGGTGAGGGGAGCAGATCCAAGTTCGGCATTGGGTGGCTAACTCTACTACATCAAAGTGTAAGAGGATATTACAATGATACCTACCTCACTATGATGCCTACAACCTAAACTTTGAATGGTGTAGAGCATGAGCAATCTAAGGCCATTAGGGGAGTCATTAGAGACTATAATGTTTGAATTAAAGCCATCTACTTGGGGCCAATATGCTATGAAAATTCTATATAAGAGCAGAACTAATGCCACTCTTCCATGGGTTGAGATTGGGCACATCATAAATATCACAACACTGATCATAGAAGGGGACTCAAAAGTAGTAATAGGATGGATGGAAAATAACAGGATGGGAACTTGGCACTATCAAAGTACCATGAGAAAGGTCAAAGAAATGATAAGAGACTTTAACATGACATTCATGCATTCACAGGTCTGAAAATGGTGTTGTTGACTCATTGGCTGAGGAAGGCAATAAGGATCAATTTTTGGGGGAGGTACCTGATGATGTACAGAGGGAAAGCGTTCATGGTCAAACTTCACAAAATTAATAGCAAGAGGGACTGGTAACAGTGGCACCTCCTGGGCTACTTGGCAGTTGTAAATATTATTTGTTCATAATCAATGAGCTTTCAAGATCATTGACCAAAAGAATAGTTTGTAAAAGTTTTGTGTCAGCTGCCAACCTGACATAACCCTCCTTTGTCTAGGGAAGGCCATGAATGAACTCATACTTTAACTAAAATTTCAAGATTGCTAGGATTCCATAGTAATGAAAGTAAACATTTTTACGACCCAGTCACATCTTTCAACATCCATGAGGATACAAAATGCTTTTACCTTCAGTGTGGGTATAATGACCCTGTCACATCTTCTATACTGTTGGAGGACCCAAAGGAGATCATCACCTAACATATGCTCTCTCAAGCATCCTTCATGTTTGTCAGCTAGAGTATCTTGAAGATACATTAATAAAGCTGTGATTGATGCCTTCCGCAGGGAATCTTGCAATCCCCCAATAGAGATAACTAACCCAGAAATCAGAAATCTGCTGTAACAACTAAATTGAAGCAACTGAACTAAGCGTGGGTAAGAGAAAGTTGGTACCTGCAAGAAAATTATGAATGACATCAGTTGAAAAACTCAAGTAAATTGATAGAATGATCCATCTCTACTTACTCCCCACTTTAAGTCTGGATGATTGGGAACAATTTCTTCCAGCTTTTCCCGATAAGGTATGCACGGAACAAAAATTCTTTCGTTGTGCAAAATCCTCCCAAGAATAGTTGCTGCAATGTCTCTTATTTTATCAATCTTCTCAACAGCTTGCTTTACAAACCCTCCAACTAAGCTGGTTGCAAGACTTACATCAAAAAGTGTGTGTCCCTGATCCCTTTCAGCAATGTCATTATCTGGATGTTCTTTATATTCGATCCCTGTTGTCTTCCTCGGGAAGCCCTCAGATTCTCTTTCACAAAGGATATATGTACATCTTTCAAGGCTATCCATGGCAGCTTCTCGGACCCAAGAACCCACGTCACCTCTGTTATCTACAGAGTAGTCATCAAGTGCTTTAAATAATGTCTGCATAACTTCCCTTTTTATCATAAGACAAAGAGACATGTCATCATCAACAGAAAGGAATTGAGAATGTTTCCTGGTAGAACTTAATGTTTCACAAACAGATACAAGCCCTCGAACTGCATTTACACGGGCTTCAGCATTTCTATCATCAGGATTATCCTGCACATAGGAGGACTCTTTACCATGCCAGCAAATGACAAAGTTGGCTTTGAGGCAGAAAAGCTTAACAATAGCCTCCAGCAAAATAACCCCATTGAAATGAATACCACAATATTTACCTCAATTGCACAAGATCTACAAAGATTTGATATCACAACCGTCCACTTTGCAGCCAGAAACTTGAAAGGCAGGACACCTAATGCCAATGCTGATCCACGCCTTGCTGCAACATTAGGATCTGACAAGAGATCCAGATACTTGGATGTTATACTATCAGCATTCCCATCATCTACCATGACAAGGTATGCTGGGACAAAGTGTTTTAGGGCTTCAACAGCAGAATTCTGTAAGTAATATAATTAAATTTATTACAATGTGAAACTGGGAAGAAGCAAAAGATCAGAAAACAAGATAAGAAGTTCCTAATCTATATAAGACATACCTGGATCTGAGCATTGGGATGTCTCAGATTCTCGTTAAGGGTACCAAGCAAACTTTGCTTGATTCTTTGTGGTAAGGATATATGACTGAGAGATATACACTCAATGAAACGAGAAACAGCAGAGCGCATTATTTCTCCACCCTTTCCACGATAAAGACGCGCTTTCTCAATTGCAGGAACAATACCAGCAACAGATTTCTGCTTATCTGGTGTAAGAAAGAATTCAGATAGGCTTAACCATAACTTGTCTAAGGAAACCAAAGATCAAAAGCTCACTTGTTATAAAACCTCTACAATATAGAAACTTCTTTATGACACTGCCTCTCTGTCCTTATTTTTATTGTGAGAGATCATAATGTTTTTATGGTAAGAGGGATTTGGCTCATTTTGCTCTGACCATGGTTTGTGTTTCAATAGTGATGGACATTTTGGCAAGCAAAAATCGGGAACCATAGGGGGTATTTTGCTAATTTTGCTAAAACATGTGGAAAATACTGACCAGTGGAAAGCAAATGATCACATTGATGTAGAGCCAAAACAAGTTCCCCAACAGCTAAGGTTGCACCATGACGCATGCACAAATCAGTTGAGAGAGTACAGGGAATCAAACGTTCCAGAACAAATGATGCAAAATATCCAGTATCATACTTCACAAGAGCAGAAAGCGCCTCTGCAGCAAGTTCTCTCAAGCCTTTATCCTAAGCAGGTTTATGCAGTGTAAGATGTTACAGTCAGCAAATACACGTAACAGATGAAAAAAGGTACAAAGGCAATTACTGATTCTTTCAATGAAGTTTTTTGACATTGGAAAGAATTGCAAGAGGATAGTAATATGAGATGCCAATACAGATTTTATAATACCCAAAAGAATATGCATGATTTAACAAGTCACTGTGGAAGCACTGCTATGACCTTTTCATCCCTCTTTGCTCTATTTGAGTTTCCAATTTGCATCAAATCTCTCTTCTTAGAACCTTTTTTACACTTGGGGCCTACAAACCCTAACCCAGCTTAAGCCAATGTTGTGCTCAGGTTGAGCCTTAACCAAATCTGATGCAACCCAAGCCCAACAGTAAAAGGCCATTACCTGAAGTTGGTCCTAGCTATCTTGGATCTTGGAGGAGTGGACTGGATACAGACCTTACCTTTGGCATTTAAAGCTGTGTATACAAGGTTAGGTGCATACCCTTTTTAAGGCTTGCAACTGGCAATGATTTTAAAAATGCAAACCTCACCTGTGCGCCTAGGGAGGTTAGTTTCTTGAGGCTTTTAACTCAATCAGCGTTGGCTTGTCTTACACTGCCAGTCACAAGCCTAGATAAAGGACTATGTCGGGCTACAAGCCAGCATAAAAACCATTAGTTGAACCTAATGCAAATGTGGATCCTTAACCTTAAAGAGTGGGGCTTGGATTAGCCATTACAAACTCAGAGTTGGGCTAGGTGTTGGATTGCTCCTGAACCAGACCCTTCCCTCTCAAGTGTCCCTCTCAAGTGGCAACCCTGGTCAATGGTGTAGAATTGATCTTCAATCATACACCTAAACTATCTGAATCAACTCATTTCTAATATATCCTTACTGGTCTACCAAGTAAGCCCTCTTAACACACCTAGGTCATGCCCGGGTTCTGGGAATCTTGTTAAAGACACAATTCCCCAGTCTTTATGCTCTTTCCAACCATAGGGAGGAACCCATATCTTGTTTTTTTTGACCTATCTGATGCAGTTGCTGGGTGTAATTGGGATTTGGGCTTTAGAAGAGGGCTTCATGATCATGAGTTGAATAATGTCATAAACCTACTACAGTCCTTGGAAAGGATTTGTCTAGTAGCTGGTAAAAGGGATAAAAGAATTTGGGCCCTAACACCCTCTAGTACCTTCAATTGTAGTTCCTTTTTCTCATCCCTTACCCAACCGAGTGGCAACCAAATGATCACTGCTCACAAGGACCCCTTCCCTGACTACAAAACGCAGTATCACACCCTCTGCATAGGTGGATCCCGGGATTAAAACATTTTGCAAACCTTTTTCATAAAATAATATAATACAAATATAAATACATTTTGTAAAGAGATTGGAAACTCTATTGGGACAGAATTGCTAGCTGCCATCCAGGGTGTACAGCTTGAAGTTCAGTTAGGTGTGCAACAATTACTAATAGAAGGGGATTCCAAGGTGGTAGTGGGCTGGCTATAGAACCCTAAGTCTATCGTGTGGAGCTTTAAGAATGAAATTAAAAAATTTAAGTGGATGATAAGGAGCCTAGTTGTTAATATTAAATGGGTGGGGAGATCAGGAAATGCTTTGGCTAACTGTCTAACAAAGCAAGGGGAAAGTAGGGAACAATTGTATTGGGTTCATTTGTAGTCTGAATTCGTTTTCCATCAGAGAGTGTAAACCCTGATATTCAGTTGTCTGACAAAGGGGCTAATCCTATCACAATCATCACCCACTCAGGTAATATCCTAAACTGCTCCAACATGCACAGGTATTTGACCTAAAGGATCTCACTGGTTGGCATATCAAAAGCAATTAAGTTCAAGACCGTAGTATCATTATCAAGTCTGGGGTCAAGTGCAATTTTTCGATTTTGCCCATCTATCTCCAAAATCTAGGGCATAAGTAGAATTGATCCATGTTCAATGTTTCTTCCAAACACCCACAGGATGTACTTAGGGTCTTAACCCCAACAGCTAAGACAAGTTGTTCCACCATTTCGATAGTACACCCATATCAACCTTGTCAAGATAAACTCCAATGGCTAAGAACTTTCCAAACTAACACAAGTCTCATAGGTGTCCAGCTTAAGGGGTAATTCACAAAAACATACCAATCAAAGAATAAAAACAATAATGAACTGATTTTATTAATACATAAAATTCAGTGTACATCAATCTGATCGAAGCTAAGGGCATACACTTTCTAACAATTAATATAGCTCATAAAGTATTTTTTGTCAATCTGATTAACATGCATTGGTTATGCTACTCTCCTTAAAGCATACCTCCACTTTCTCTACAGAAAACTAATCCTATGAGCCTTACAAAATCTAGTCTCTCTTATTATGGATAACGTTGAACAAGGATACTCTAATGCATAAATGGTATTGATGAGACAACAATGAAAGTGTCATTGCTGAGAAAGAAATTAGAAAGAGAAAGAACTCTTTATTTAATGCTAAATAGCAAAGAAATAGATCACTTAGAAGAAGTAATAAGAGGGAGAAAAAATCCTCCTAACAACCAGAACTCACTAAACCAAACTTTATTTTCTTTTTCAAATCAACTATTTTCAATTACAATTAAGAAGACTACTTATGGACTCAACTTATGAACTTAGAAGCCCCTTCACAGACTCCAGTACTCCAATTTAGACTAGTAAACTGACCCAAATCAACTTCTATTTGATTTGTGTGTCCAAGAAACAATTCTGGTTAAAGAATTTTGTGTAGCTTGTCCAGGAAAAGATGGTTCAGAAGTGTGTGTGTGTGTGTGTGTGTGTGTGTGTGTGTGTGTGTGTGTGTGTGTGTGTGTGA